GACTATACCACACTTGATGACTGTCTAGTGTAGGTGCACCTATGGGTTGTTTCCACAATTGGGTGATTAGGAATAGTGCTGTTTTGAGCATTCTCGCACATGCCTTCTCTTGAACGGTTGCATGTATTTCTGTTGGGTATATACTTAGAAGAATTGCTAGGTCCCAGGGGACATGTATGTTCAGCTTTAGTAGATACTAATTTTCCAAAGTGGTTCAACTGATTTACACTCTGTACTATCAATGTATAAACACTCCACATTCTTAGCAACACTTGGTGTTTTGTGTCATCTTCCTTTAATGTGGCGTAACATTGTGATTTTGCATTTCTTTGACAAATGAAGTTGAGCATCTGTTCACATCCTTTATTGGCCATTTGAATATCTCCTTTTGTGGGGTGCCTGGTGAAATCTTCATATACTTTTCTTTTGGGTTGTCTTTTTCTTATTGATTTGCGGGCATTCCTTATATATTCTAAATATGCGTCCTTTGGGTATATGTGTCACAAGCATCTTCTATTTGACATTTTTTAAAGTATAATTTACATACAATGAAATGCTACTATCTTAAGAGTATCATACATTCTATTTATCAAAACACAGAACTTTTCCATCACCTCTGGGTTTCCATTTTTTCCTTCCCAGTCAGCATCCCCTCTCACAAAAGAAACAATTCATCTGATTTCTCTGACCGTAGGTTAGTTTTGCCTATTCCAGAACTTTATATAAATAATTTTCTACAGTGTATACTTTTGTGTTCAGCTTCTTTCACTTAGCATGGTATTTGTGAGATTCATCCATCTTGTGCCATTTATCAGCGTTCATTCTTTTCCTTTGCTGAGTAGTACTCCATGGTAGATTATCCCAGGTTATTTTTTTCATTCTCCTGTTGGTGCATGTCTGGATTGTTTCCAATTTCTGGTTATTATGAATAAAGCTGCTTTGAAAATTCTTGTACAAGACTTTTTATGGATGTAGTGTTCACCTTTTAAAAATTCATAAGTATTTTTTTCTTTAATCATACTAAATACTCAGTTTGTATATTGTTCTCTAAGAAGTCCCAGACACATGAAAGCCTGGATTCATGCAAAAGATAAATGATTCATTTCCTAGAAGAAATTTTTAGAAAAAAAAATTCACAGTAAGAATCCATTACTAGTAGCTTGAGTAATTATTACAAACAACTGCTTGGGGATGTCAGTTTCTCTCTTTGGTCATTTAGAGTTTCATTCATATGGATTTTTCCCTCTTCCCCACTTGTATGGACATATATAATTGGCCTTACTGTAGTTATTTGCATTTGCACTAATAGAGATCTTGTCTTTTGAAGGAAGAGAATTACTTGGTTCAGTGCCTCAGCCTCTCAGCTGAATGCTTTGAATTCGGAACAGTTTAAATAATCCTTGGGAATGGGGACAGGTGAACATTCTAAAAACAGGCATAGCTTACAATGTTTAGAAAGTACAATGGTAGAAAAATTAATTTTGTGCTACATGTCACATTGGAGGTGTGTGTGCTAAATATCTGGTGATCTTACGTAAAAAAACAGCATTGCTGAACTCATCTACCCCAATGCCTATGATGTTACTTACTATAAATACTTTTTGAAACATGAGAGCTTTGATCTTGTTGCCAAAATAATGTGAGATCCTGTAAATTTTCTAATTATAAATGACAGTACTTTAATTTCATTTCACTTTGCCTTCTGTCCTCCCCATCCTGCCCCCACCCCCCAAAAATGGTGTGACTATCACTACAAGTCACAGGATTGAATTAAAGCACACATCATTTCTGCTTACCGCAGGGAGAACCATGGCTGCTCTCCCCCCAGATAACTACTGTGAGACCCAAGTAGGCTGTTCTTTCCTTTATTCTGTACTGGACCAAATGATTGAAGTTACCTGTCAAAAGCTAGGCTAATAAAAATGGAAGTTCTTTTTCTCAAATAGGGCATGAAATTTGTTTCTTTAAGCCAGTTTTTCAGAGAAAGCTTTCAGAAGAGATACGGAATTTGGAATTCAGTTTTGCATCTCTTCCTCAAAAGACGAATATGATTACTTGCTATATGATGAGCAGTTTAATATTGATTACACAGTGTATATGACACCTTTGATCATAAACATGTCGCTTTGATGTCTTTTCCAACAAAAGTGTTTAATTTTGGAGGGATAATAATTACAAATGCAGTTCCATGTAGTGGCTCTATTTTGTACATTTTAAACTTTAGAATCCACCTCTAGGTGGCAGCACCAGATACTTTTTTTTTTTCCTGTTTCACTCCAGCCTTAATGAGTTATGGTATAAGCAGTAAAACTTTTAAGTCTCCCGAAACTTTGAAATAAGCTGCTTGTTGCCAATTTCATGAGGATTTGGAAACATCAGTTCCTATGTTGAGTAAGCCTAGATTCTGACCTTTAAAAGATTCCAGCAGCAGTGATCCTTATTTTTTAACATGACATTATATGTTTTCATAAAAAGATTTAATTTAGCCCTCTGATTTGCCTGTTGAACTTATAATTGTCCTCCCAAGAAAATTACTTTTTTATGATATTTTTGTATCCAAGTAACTCATACAGGGATCATTATATACCTAATATTTTAAGGTAATTACAGTGTCCCCTCCTTTTTAAGATTTATCATTGATCTATAACCAAGAATGCTGAGATGAAACCCCTTCTCTTTAAAGAAATTCAGCATGGGAATCAATCTGAAGTAATCCGCTATGGCCACTTGGCTTTGTTATTGCCATGGGCAGATTAGGGTTGTTTATGGAATTGGACATTAAAGTAGACATTTCATAAGGCTTGATTTTTTTCATGACTTTTGGCCACTTCTCTGTAAGTAGCAAGAGGGCCCTTGTCCACTTTTGGCTTACTCAGCAGGCAGGCTCCCCTGTGGCCTCACGTACACTAAATAAGCGGATGCTGGTAGGATGGCCTAGAGAGAGCTTTCGTTGTTTACTTGCTGCAGGTTGGCCATTTCTGGGTATGTGCAAAACCAGTGTTGTTTCGTTCCTGGATTTTTGGATTGTGAAAGAAGCCTGCCGTTGAGAAAACTTTTGCCCACTGTTTTTCTTTTTCCTTACTTTTGAATAGTATTGGCCTGAGAAATTGATGAATAATCATACCATCAGAGAAAGGGTGAAGTTCTTCCTCATAATTGTTAATGAAGCAAAACATTATGTGAATATAGTTGGACTCACAAATGGTTTCAGGAATTTGCAACAGTTACCCTTCAGTACAGAGAAGAAATGGCCTCATTCACGGGTGTGGCCTCTCTCACTCATTTTCTCTGCCCCTCTTTGTCTTTAAATGGGAAGGTATATATTCCCACACTCTTCACTAATTTGCTATTTCTCTTAGGGGATAGGTAATTTGTAAAATAAAAATATATAGTGAATCTTGGGGCCAAGTGACCTCAGTTACAGTAATCTATATCACTAAACAAGAATATTTTTCCAGTTGTTTTTAATGTGTACTTTTTGTTTTTATTGTACGATCATGTTAGGAAATACTCATTTTGATTAATTCCTACAAAGAGTAGCTATTAACTTGCTATGCAGTCTGAACATGTGTTCCATATATTTTTCCAAATGCATAATCTTGAGTGAATATCATCTAGATTAAATGATGTTCATCTACAATTTTATTTTTTCATTCATACGATATTTATTGCATGCTTATCACATGCTAGGCACCACTGAAAGGGGTTTGTCCTCTAATGTCTGTTTTAAACTTCAGAAGTGCCTGGTCGGTGACACTACCTCCATTTCATAGGTGAGAAAATTGAGACTCATAGTCTCTGTCTTTTTACTTTTTGTCCAGCACCTTTCCACCGTGTCAGTCAGCCTCAAGTGTAGATGTCACTTGAAAATTGACCAAGTAGGATTTAGGATCTTGTCACTGAGTTCTGAATACATCTGTTTGATTATCTACTTATGCAGCGTTGTTAGAGTTAAAAGAGTTTTCAGATATTTTTGGTATTCGAATTTTTTGCTTAGTGACTTCTGTATTACTTATTTACCTTTATGCTAAAATAAATTTGATAGCTTTCCTTAGATTTCTGAAAAGCCTAGAATTCGTTGGGATTTCTAAAGGATGATTTCAAGAAAATGTTTTAAGATACCGTGTGTATTAATTACCTTTACATGTAAATCCACATGGTATATTTTGACAGATATGCCTTGACCAAAGGTAAATAAAATTGGCTGGCCTAAAGATGTTTCTTTAAATAGTTTGTGGAAATGAGGAAGCATAAACTACCTCAGTCAATGCATTGATTGATTTCTTGTGTCATTTTGATTGAAATATGGATGGTATATTTTGTTTCGAGATTGTCGGGAACGTTTTGGCCTATAGAATCTGTAGATCCATTGTTTTTGCACATATTTTAAATTTCTGAATTCAGAACACCAAAAAACCATGTCGTGTTTTGTCTCAGATGCTGCTACTGAATTTTAACCACTGAATTAGATTGCACCCTACATGCTGTTAACTACTGAGCCAAGATGGAATCGACCACTGCATTGAAATCAGGGTTAGCAGTTGTATCTGCACTTGAAGGCGTTGTAATAGCATTGAACTTGTTTTCTTTAATGGGATTTTTATTCTCTATTTTCAGTTTTCATAGTGAAACTTTGATTTTAAGAGATTTCTTAATAACACTGCATATTTATTTGAGATTTTCACTGTAACTGTAAGAAGATAGTAAAACCATCCTATAGAAGTAGTTGCTTCTGAACCCAAACATCTGGGGGCATATCTGCATTGCGTTAGTGCGTTAGTGCTGTTTCCTTGTTTTATTTAATAAAGTGATCTTTTGTAAAAGGATAAGTCAGTTGTCCATGTGATGTGAGCCTTTATCTAGAGTTCAAATGGTTGTGTATGTGTGTGCATGAATTTAAAATCATTCCTTTGTGGGTTTTCTTCTTTGGGGTCTCTTTTGTATACGGGAATTCAAATAATTGTACCTCTCTGAATTTGTTTTTTCTTTTACATTAATAGGACTCGACCCCACCCAGTTTAGAGTTCATCATTATCATAAGGATGAGGAGAATGATGCCCTCCTTGGTGGCCCAGCCCAGCTCACTGATGAGGAGAAATACAGGGACTGTGAAAAATTCAAGTGCCCATGCCCTACATGTGGAACAGAGAATATTTACGATAGTGTCTTGGACGGTTCGGTTAGTTGTTTCTTTGTTTCTTTTCTTCATTTTGTTAGCCAACTAACATAGAGGCCTTTCCTCCCCCACTGTTTGTATAAAAGGGGAGGAAAATGTTGCTTTCATGCATTTAAAGAATTTTAGCATCGTATGGATTCTGCCTTCACGGCTTCATTTCTGCTTGAAAATTCTTTTTTTTTTTTTTTTTAAAGATTTTATTT